GAAACCCCGGTCAATACTCCCTCTGTACTGTCTTCCATGAAATATATCTACCATACATTTTTACGATGTCAAGTACTACTGATAGATGATCATTGTAAAACAAAATATACTATCATGACATTACTCACTTTGAGTAAAGACTTCTTCAGAGTTGTTTTCCCTGCACCTCCATCTCCACAAAACAGTAGTTTTGTTACGTCGATGGGGATTCCAGGCTCCTTCTGCAGTATTTTATAGTCACGTTCCTAAAATATATTTTATTTGACTTTAACTTCAGAATAACTGTCCTGAGTGAATACACTGTGATTGGTTGCTGGTGGAATTATACGAGTTCAGTATTATGTTTGACAGACGAAATATAGTATTGAAATAAGTAATACCTTTTTCACTTTAATCAACAATATCTCAGCTTCTTCGTAAAATTTGTTCTGAAGAATACTTCCTGTACCAATTTTAGACCTCACATACTCAATTGCAGTCTCGTCGGCCTAAAATTAAAAAAACAAAATTGTAACTAATAAAATCACCAGCAACTGCACAGAATACAATAGTGTGTATAATATCACTGGCACTTCTGGTTTTTAATTAATATATAATTTAGAGAGTTTGCCAAAGAAACATGAACATTTTAATTTGAAGATATATCCACTATTTTTATAAATCATTAAAATTACAATTTATGAGTTTCCATATTTAATTCGCACCAATGACACATCTGTAATAAACTTTCAGACATTATTGTCATATTACACTTTATACGTCTGATGTGAACCAATGTAAAAGGACTTTTGTAAATTACAATTACGGTGATAACCAATTTAACAGATTCATTTTTATAACATTTATCATGGAATGTAAATTACAAACCTTATTTGGTGATGTCATGTCAATGTTTTTCTCTAATAAAATCTTCATGATATTCAATCTATTGGTTTTATCTTGTGATGTCTTGACATACCAGCTGGCCGTATCAATCATTTTAAACAGTGCATTCTTATGATACTACAATACAATATACAGGTTGATGTAAAACACAATTAATGAACAAAGTAATAATTTGAAGAGTCATTGTTTATATGGTGAATACAATATCAGAAGTTGTCAAAACAGTTGTGGGAATAAGTAGAAAACAAAAATCCATTGGAATAGTAACAAATAAACAAATATTCATATTGAATGTCAACCTGTAATTCCATCAGTTCCCATACGTCATCAGGATTGAAACTCCACTTTGTTGGTTGAATTGGATGACCCGTAACATTTTGTTATCAACATAGATTCAATGGTGACGACCAGATATTCACGATAATAAAACACAGGTGTAACCAAATATAGGTAACATAAAAATGGTTTTAAATATCTTTATCTGTCTTTGGTTATAACGTTGTTTTACCCGATAAGATGACAAATAGGTTACAACATGGAAAACGTATGAGTTGACATTACTTCTCCTCATATTATTGGATATATTGGAACAAGAAATAATACCGGTAACATTTCGTTCACCCAATGTTTTGCCCTGATTTTAATAATTTACTAAATGTTTC